GGGAGCAGGCCTAAGCCAGCAGGTCGTTATCTCCCGAGGGGTCCCAGACTGCAAGAGGGCACAGGCCGGGCTGGGGGAACCCCCTCCTCCCGCCCCCTGAGTGCACAAATTTTTGTGCACCGGGCCTCTAGTATAAATATAAGTATTTGCACATTATATATGTACAAACATGTTTCCTATATAGCTGGTATATGTAAGTATAGATGTATATATGCATATTCATATTTGTATATGTATTTATACATATATAAGCATATATGTAAGTTTGCTCTTATTCATATGTTTTCTGGTTCTCTACCATATTCTCTAAAACTCTTGTCAAACTAATTCTTTAAATTGGTTTATAATCTTTCAAATGTGTTCCACAGTAATTTTATATGTCTTTCATTCTGTATAGAAACAATAGCTTCTTCACTTGACTCATTGTGCTCATTAAATACTAAGCCAACTTAATTATTACTCTTTCATCTCTTATTCCATTTACACAAGAAGTTAATAAGTAGAATAAATTAATTTTCTGCTTCTAAAATGAAAAAAATGAGCTACATATCTTTGTTCTGAGCATTTGGAAGCTACTTAGTACAAATACACACAGTCATTGATAACAAAGGCAATGACTTAACTCCTTGATAGGTTCCCCTGAACCTCAGACACAATAGATAGTTAGAGAAAGTGCTTTGCTCATGTACAGTAGCAATTACATATGCAAATAGTTTCCATTTCTAGATGAGTACATTTATTTAAACTCTATTATACTTAATGAACTTTTATTTATGTATTTAAATGTAAATATCAAAAAATAATAACTTGCTCAAACTTCTTCTGGGACTTATGATTCAGAATGAATACTATATGAGCATATTCTCTGAGTTCCAAGTTTGTTCCTTTTAGTAAGAGTAATATAGTTTTGTATTAGGAAAATAAGATATAGTTTTATCCTAAAGGAAAATATTCTTCCAACACAAAAAGCAAAAACGTTCTTTATTTCACCACTCAAAATAAATGGTAAATTTTAAGAATGGGTTTCACTTCTTAATCAGAATTCTGACTCTGTCATAACTCCCTGGCATACACATAATTCAAAGAAAAAATATAATAAATATATAAGAATATATATATTGTATGATTTGTACTGAATATATAATTATTATAAATATATGTATGTATAAAAGCCTAAGCAACTGTTACAATTGAACAACTTGAATGACCGGAAACAACCGTTGACCAGTCACTATGACACATACTGATCACGAGGGGGCAGACACTCAATGCAGGAGATGCCCCCTGGTGGTCAGTGTGCTCCCACAGCCAACTTCCTGTGGGTCCTCCCCCGAGTTGGCCAGCCCCCTGATAGGCCTTAATTGCTGGTCAGGCTGAGGGACTCCACCTGTGCGTGAATTTGTGCACCAGGCCCCTAGAATATTATAAATATACTAGGGGCCCGGTGCACAAAAATTTGTGCACTC